GGGCATGGGGCCGGAGCCCGGGCGCCGCGCTGCGCTGCTTGCGCTGCGGAGCCCAGCAGCCGGCTTCGGCCTCGTACTTCCCTCCCGCTGAGCTGCCGGACTGAACGCGGTGGCCGCCGCCTCCCGCCTTGCGCTTAGCTCCTCCCGCGTTCTCGGGTTGGGGGCCACCGCCCCCTCCGTTGGGCCCCGCCCACCCGCTTCGCCGGGCTCGGAGAGGGCGAGGGGTGGGGCTGCGGGCGGGACAGGCACCTAATTGGGCCGCGGAAGCCGTGAGGAGGGAGGGGCAGAGAGGGGCGGGGTTTATGAGACTCGGGTGGGCGCCACAGAGGTAGTAGGAGAGGTACAGAAATGGGGAGGGGGACTAGAGTCAGGTAAACAAGGAGGATCCCAGTGGGAAGGGATGAGTAGGACCAAAGAGTGAACGGAAAGGAGAGGCAGAGAGCTCAGAGTGGCATCAAGATAGATGTCCCGGGGGTCAGTCCCGAGGAAAACCGTGACAGAAGGGCAAAGGACCACCACATGCAGGAGGTTGAAGGATGAAACATTTCCTCTATCTGCAGCGGACAAAGAGATGTTGAAGTGGGGCTGTGCAAAGTGAGGAGCAAGAGGACAGACCAACAAAGAGGGACAGGGTGAAGGCCAAAGAGCAGGGAAGGAAGACTAGTGAGTCTAGCATCCAGATAACCCGTCTGGATACTTTGCTTTTAGGATGCCCAGAGGGATCTCTGAATTCTAAAAGCAGCCACCTCGTCGTCGTCGTCGTCGTCTTCTTTTTCTTTTTCTTCTTCTTCTTTTCTTTCTTTTCTTTTAATTATAACTGTTCAGGAACACCCTCTCCCAGGGTGGCGACATCTTCAACCCTTTCTTTTCTACTGCCCCTAGGGCTATCTGCTAGACCGCCCCTACCTGAGATCTCTTTCCCGCGGCTTCCTCTGGTCCCAGCTACTAGCTAGACAAGGGAGAAACAAGGCCCGTGAGAAGGTGAAGGGCCCCCCATGTTATCTCTTAATGCTAACCAGTCCTGGGTAGTGCTATTTTCTAGCTGCCAAAGGAGGAGGGGTTGATCTCCCCTAATCCCTTAGGGGACTCCCTAACTCTTTTCCCCATCAGGTTGCGTGAGGCTCTCTTTTTTCCTTGAGCGCAGTAGTGTTTAGGTTGCATAAACTGAAATGTGTCTGCTTCCATCAAAATATTTGTCATATTATTTGAGGCCCAGCTCAAGCTGCTGCACTCTGTTCCTCCTTCATTCCCCCCTCCCCTTTTCAGAGGAGGACTCTGTCTTTCTGAAGCCTCTGGTCATGATAAACAATGACACTCCAGCTCATTCTCTCAGGCTGCAAGACTCCTCCCAGCTCACACTCCCACCGCCGGCCTCCTGTGGTCCACTTGATTCTGTGACTATTCCTACCTAAGATTGAGACTAAGGGACACAGGAATAACCGATGGTAGGAGAGGGGGTGGGCGGGACGCTGCCAGAGAGGACCTTCTAAGCACTAACCCAGGTCAGAATGACATGGATCACCAAGGAGGAGGGAGCTAAAACAAACAAACTGTGTTGGATGCTGTGTGTGTCTGAACATATTTGATCTTCAAATCAATCTAGACATAAAGCCCACCAATAGTCTCATTTTACAGATGGAGAACAGAGGCTCTGTGAAGTTAAGAGATTTGCCCCCAAGTCACGAAAGTAAGATGTGGTGGAGATAGCTAGCATTCAAGTCTGCATCCTCATTCCCAGCTGTTCCAACCTCAACGCGCCAGGGTCCCTGGGGACTAGTTACTGTCCAAACTGCAAGGTGATGCGAGCACACCGTAGTGCCCTTACGTTTCTCCAGGCAGACGCAGGCCAAGGAGACCTCCGGGTCCCTCGGGACAGATTCTTGAGTGCAGTTCCCTTTAGAGCGACCGGGCTGGTGACCCGAGGGGCACATGCGCGGTCTTGGGAGTTTGATTTGTCCAGACCCCCCAGCTTTCAAGACACACGCTAGAGACCCTCGTCCCTTAGGCTACCGGCGTTCGTTGGTTGCCCGCAGCCGTAGCTTGGCGGGCGGGGGAACCAACCCAACAGCATGCGGCCGCCGAGGTGGGGGCGAAGGCGGCCACCCCCTCGCTCGCCTGGCCGACCGAGAGGAGCGCTCGTAGCCGCAGCGCGCTCCGCCCCCCGCCCCGAAAGCGCGCCCACTCCCCTGGCGCGGTGTGGCGTCTCTGTCAGCCCAGCCGGATTCTCCCCGCTTCGCTGGAGTGGAAAATAACGGCTTCAAACTTTGCAGAAAGGAGCTGGTGCCAGCACTTTAATTAACAGCCATCTTGGCCTGTGAGCCTGAGCCACCGCCTTCTCCCCTGAGCTCCTCCCCTGGGTTCTCCCGGCCCCGCCCAGGTCCCCCCATAAGAGACCATCCCTACCCCTACCCCTCCGGAGTTCAGCACCTTTTTATCCGAGAGATCAGGTCTGGACGGATTGAGAGGATGCTGCATTAACATCGTCTCCTTATTTTAATTTGTTAAAAAAAAAAAAAACAAAAAAAAAAACAAAAAAACTTCTCCAAGCATTCTTCATTCTCAAAAGCCGGATCCAAAATTCTGGAATTAAAGAACTAGGTGCCGATTCCACCTGGTGATTTTAGATCAATGGCCTTGTGTTCATTACCTCCAGTGTCCTCTGGAAAAAAGGTGGTTGAGGGGGATTAAATGAGATACAATGTATGTAGAATGTCGGGCCTTAGTTGCTAATATAATTGCAGTCACCTAAGAAAGTCCTCTTATCACCCCCCCTTGGCCTAAGTTGGCTGTGCGTAAGCTGTCTTCTTCCGGAAGCAGTACTGCCGTATTGGGGCTAAGAGAGGACAGAGGATGTATGCATGTTTCTAGGTTTAGAGAGGGCACACGAATCTTTTATTATTTTTAATGTTTGTTTGTTTGTTTGCTTGCTTTGAAACAGGGTTTCTCTGTATAGCCCTGGTCCATCCTACAACTCGCTCTGTAGATCAGACTGACCTCGAACTCACAGAGATCCGCCTGCCTCTGCCTCCCAAGTGCTGGGATTAAAGGAATGTGCTACCACTGTCAGGTTCCAGGCCTTAACTAAGAGGCAAAATAAGGGCTTAGGTCTTCAGGGAGGCCAAGAAATGAGAACTCTGCCTTCCAGGAAGGCAGACAGCACCCTTCCATGTTCCGGACTCCGTAGTTGTTGAGGGCAAAACCATATGTGGCTTTGACTTCCCTTTTCTGATCGAGAATTCATCCATCTGGGTCCCTCCATTTTCGTGGTGGGGGTTGGTCCTCAGTGCTGGAGTGAATTGCTTGGGGAGGGCACAGGAAAAGGGGAACAAGGTTTCCGACTTATGGATGGCTGCCTTTGAGAATGAGTAGCTGTCCTCGGTGTTTGGAGGTACCCTGAATGAGTGTGAGTGGGTGGGCGTGGCTGTTAGAGACTGTGTTAGCAGTGTCTGGGATGTGAGGGATGAAGGGAAACAGCGCTTTGACTGAGCAGCTGGCAGGTCCGCAGTCAGTGGTGTTTGCAGTGACTGGAGACACCTGGCTGGGTGCTACAAGATGGTAGTGGTGATCCTGCCCCACGAGAAGAGCTCAGTGGAAGCACCGTTGGGCAGGAGACATAGACAGAAAGAAATTATAAAATAATGTCACTGCAGCCAGTGTGAGTTTTGATCCACTTACTAAATACCAGAACCCATTTCAAGCACTTTATATGTATTCTGCTCTTTAAAATGAGTAGTTGATTATCATGGACTTAAAGTCATTATGTGTCTTTTAAAAATTAGTGTGTTGTGTGTTTGAGTATTTTGCCTATATGTATGTCTGTGCACCACTTATGTTCCTGGCCCTGTGGAGTCCAGAAGAGGGCATCAGATTCCTTGGAACTGGAGTTGTAGGTGATTGTGAGCTGCCATATAGGTGCTGGGAATTGAACCCAGGTCCTCTAGTAGAGCAGCCAGTGCTCTTACATGCTGAACTATCTCTCTAGACCTGAAGTTATTGTATGTCTTTATTTATTTATTTTTAAATAAGTTCTTTCTATATAGCACTGGCCATCCTAGGTTTTGCTATGTAGACCAGGCTAGCCTTGAACTCATAAAGATCCACCAACCTCTGCCTCCTAAGTACTGGGGTTAAAGATGTGTGCCACCATGCCCAGCTAGTATGCATCTCCATAGAACAAACCTCAAGGCAGATACTGTTATTTGCCCTGTTTTATGACTGAGGAGTCCGGGTTTGGGTAGCATTTGCACGAGATGTTATGAAGCATAAGTGATTTACAGATGAAGATTGGCAAGCCCGCAGGACTCTAGGGAGGCATTACAAAGGAAGCATCATTTTTTTTTGCACCTGTCTGTCTATTCATTCATCTTTCTCCCATCCATTCTGTAACATAATTTTAACTGACTAGGGGTCCAATTTATTACCACGGGACATAATGATGAGCAAGAAAAGGCTTCCGACCTCATGTAGTTTACAGCGCACCACTGGACTCTGGACTATTAAACAAGCAGTGGCTATTAAGCCTGACAAGCCTGCTGTCTGGGAATGTATGACAGTCACACAGGATTCATCTGGAGGTCGGAAAGAGGGGACACCTCCTGATCCAGGTGCTATTTAAATTAAGCCCTGACAAAGGAAGTCAGCAAGGTGAGGGGCTGGCTGTCAGAGGGGTTGGGGAGGGGGATAGGACAGGGGTCTAGCTAGAGAAAACAGCATGTGTTAAAAACTAAGCTTGTGGAGGGGGGGCTGTGGGCTGTGACGGAGTTTACAATTTATCCCAAGGCAATTAAAAACTACTACTGAACGATGTTGAATGAGAAATATGATCAGAATTTTTTGCATGAGAATGATTACTCTGGCTCCTGTGGAGAAGAAAGATTAAAATAGAATATTTGTGGAGAGACTAGGAGGTGATTGTGGTCCAGGTAAGACGTGATAGCCTAGAATAGGCAGATGAAAGTTTATGTTAGCGACTGATGAGAGGGACCCTAAAAGGATAGGGAGGGGGACAGAGGACTTCCAGATTTCTGGAGGAATCTTGAAACGTATATTATGGGAATGAAGGATGGATGGATACTATAGTCATTGCCTGGGCACCGATATAGACTATGTTCTTTTGTATTCTATTTATTGAATTCTTACTAGAGTCTAAAGAATCAGTGCCACCATCTCCACGTGGAAGGGGAGGACACTGAGGGACAGAGGGGTTAAATAACCTGCCCAGGATCATGCAACCAATAAAAGAGAGAGTCAGGACAGGAACACTGGTCTACTGGAGCTTGGATTGGGACCATTCATCTCTCCATCCCTTCCAGGTACATCCCTGAGAGGGAAGACAAAGAAGAGGACTTTGGGATCAAGGCCCAGATAGATAAAAGCATATTTCATTTCTAATCTCTAAACTCTGGCTTGGCCTAGGTAGGGAACTGGGCATCAGAGGCAAAGACTGGCTTAGAGGCCCAGTTAGGTTGTGTGTAGTGTGTTTTGGGAAAGCTTTGTCACATTTTAGGACTTTTCTCTTTCTTCTTCTTCTTCTTCTTCTTCTTCTTCTTCTTCTTCTTCTTCTT